TCCAGTCCAGCTCTCTGCTGTGACCAGGAAGGCAGTGAGGATGACCTCCTCTAATAAAACAAAAACATGATTGGGCAAGTCTAAGGTTGGCCAGAGCTGCACCAATCCCAAGCCAGGAGCCACGAGCTTCCTCCGGGTCTCCCACATGGGTTCAGGGTCCCAAGGACTTGGGCCATCTTCAGTGCTTTCCCAGGCCATAACAGAGAGCTGGATCAGATGTGGAACAGCTGGGATTTGAACTGGCACCCATATGGGATGCTGGCACTGCAGGCGGCGGCTTTAACTACTACACCACAGCGCACAGCGCTGGCCCCTCCCAATTTTCAATACTGAGTCAGTTCCAGAAAATACAGGATTATCTCTACAGTGACTATTTAAAAAAAAAAAAAGATTTTTATTTATTTTATTTAAAAGGCAGAGTTGGGGGGGCGGAGACAAAGAGAGATCTTCCATCTGCTAGTTTACACCCCAAATGGCTGCACCAGCCAGGACTGTGCCAGGCCAAAGCAAGGAGCCAGGAGCTTCTTCTCGGTCTTGCATTTAGGTACCTGAACCCAGGGCCATCTTTGGCTGCTTTCTCAGGTGCACTGGCAAGGAGCTGGACTGGAAGTAGAGCAGCCAGGAACTGAACCAACACTCATGTGGGACGTCCACATTACAGGTGGTGGCTTAACCTGCTACACCACAGCACTGGCCCTTGCAGTGACTTTAATATCCAAAAAAATCTCAACCCACATTAAACAGTCATGTTAGTTCTACCTCCTTAATATCTCAATACATCCCTTCCTGGGTCTGTGGCCTAAGGTCTTGACTATCATATACCCTCTAATCTCTGTCTTATTTCATCACCAGCCCCTGACCCTCCACTTATCCCTCAAACTAGAGGTAAAAAAATCTCTCAAAATGGAAATCAGACAACCAAATCTACCCCCACAATTCACACAAAGTCCTACACTGCAAGATGTTACACATCATCTAAAAATGGAGACCTATGTCATGACAAAGAGACACGAAAAATTTTAAAATAGTAACAATAAATGCTACAGAGCAGGGGAGGCAAACCCAACTGTGGAAAGCGGCCCTGTGTAACAGAACTTTTGCAAAGTGGAATGTTCTCTATCTGGGCTGTCCAACAGTCGCCCTACACATGTGGGTGGCTACTGAGCACTGGAAATGTGGCAGGTGCCTCTGAAGAATAGATTTTTAAATGAAGTTAAATGGCCATACTGCATGAGACTAGTGGCACCCATATTATACGGCAGACTTAAGGTGTAGGCAGCAGGATCAGCAAAGCCACACTAATGTGAGTGCAGATTCATGCTTATCTAAAGGGGGGTACAAGCTAATGGAATTTGAGCTTAGTGTTGCCAGTGTTTCAAAACTTTGAAGGAAAGACAAAAGTTCAGACTTTACATGAAATATTTTAAAATGTTGGCAACCAACTTAAATTATCTTTAGCTGCTCTGACCAAACTTCCCAGGCCTTATTCAGTGTCTTACCTGGAAATTGTTATGCATTCAGTGCACATTTAATAAGTGCTTGCTGGGGCCAGAGCTGTGGCACAGCGGGTAAAGCCTCTGCCTACAGTGCTGGTATCCCATGTCGGCACCGGTTCAAGGCCCGGCTGCTCCACTTCCAATCTAGCTGTCTGCTGTGGCCTGGGAAAACAGTAGAAGGCCCCTGCAGCCGTGTGGGAGACCTGGAAGAAGCTCCTGGCTTCAGACTGGCTCATCTCTGGTCGTTGTGGCCATCCTGGGAGTGAACTAGCAGTTGGAAGACCTTTCTGTCTCTCTCTGCCTTTCAAATAAATAAATACATCTTTAAATAATAATAATAATAATAATAATAATAGTAATAATAATGAAGTGCCTGCTACATGCCAGACACCATTTTGAGTGCTAGGGATAGTGCCAAGAACAAGACAGAAACCTCTGCCCAACTTGTAAAATAATAATACCACATGCTAGAATACACAAAAGTAAATAAATCTTAACAGAGAGGCACCAACTATTCACAATGATGATTGTGGGTAGCAAGATGGTGATTACGCAGGATTCAGTATTTCCATCTTACAGAAGCCCAAAAACAGGTAACTGCTTTTGTAATTTCCACTGGTTTTCCATGAAAGTGCTAGACCAGGCCCTTCAAAATGCAGCCCTACCCCTCTCTACACACACACTACTTCCCCACACACCTTCCCCAACTCTCCTTCTTCCGCTCCTGAATTCCAGACCTCCTTACTTACACCCTTCAGGAAATGTTCACATCTGAGCCCTTGCACATCTGTTCACTGTGCTTAGTTCTGCTCATATAACAAGCAAACTCCCGCTCACCTCTCATGACATGTGTGACTTTAAGCATTTTACTGACATGAAGGTAGAAGCAAAAGCCCCAAACACCATACATAAATAATTCAAAAAGTGTTATCACTTATATCATTGACAATCAAGCGTCATTTAGAATGGAAATATGCTCTAAGCCTGGTACTTTGTAGTCCTCGGTTTTCCTATAAGGAAGTGTAAAGAATGGAGAAAGATAAGGCTGGTGCTGTGGAGCAGTAGGTTAAAATCCCAGCCTGCAGCGCCAGCATCCCATATGGGTGTCAGTTCAAGTCCCAGCTGCTCCTTTTTTGATCCAGCGCTCTTCTATGGCCTGGGAAAGCAGTAGAAGGTGGCTCAAGTCCTTGGGCCCTTGCACCCTTGTGGGAGACGGGGAAGAAGTTCCTGGCTCCTGACTTTGGATCAGCTCAGCTATGGCGACGGTCATTCAGGGAGTGAACCAATGGAAAGGAAGACCTCTCTCTCTGTCTCTCTGTCTCTAACTCTCTCTGAAACTCTTTTAAATAAATAAAATAAATCTTTAAAAAAAATGGAGAAAGAAATCCATGTATTCATTTTCAAACTGCTAGAGTACGGAGAGCAGAAGAGTAAGGGCTGACACATCCTCTTTAAGAACTGTGGCAGGTCAACAAACATAGCTGGCACTCTCCCAGCATTACTAAATGAACGGTGTGGAAGAATTAAACAATCTGGACTGTTAGCCTCTCAGAACATTTCAGAGCCTCAATTCCTTAAGTACCATCTCAGAATGAGCGAGGACAGCGCTCACTGGCACTCCCGGCTGAAGCCTGGACGACAGTGCTAATAACTCTTGCTGAAAATGACTATTTCTTCTCCGGTTTCTATGGAAACGGCTGTCAGATTGGCAAAAATAGTACGCGTACTTTAAACCAATCATTCAAGCAGAGTACACGCATGACGGGAGGCTTTTTAAAGAACCGGAAGGCCCCAGCAACACACGGAGCCCCTTCGCCCGGCAGAGGACAGCCAGCAACCCATGCCTCGCTCCCAGCCACTGGGGTGGGTCAGCCCCTGAATTCCACATGAGGTTCTTGTCGGCTAAATGCACTTAAAACACCGTGTTGGGGATTGCACGGCGCAGGACTGCTGCTGCGTTTTACATCGCCAGCTGACGTGGAAACAGTACGAACAGCGATTCTGTAGGCAAGTTTGCGAATCGTTTCCCGGCTGAGGTTGGGCAGGAGGACTTTTTCTTTTCTCTCCGAGAGGGAGGAGACTGGACGCTCAGCCACTGACTCAGACGCCCGAGGCGGGGGGCGGCATCTGGGGCTGGACTCAGTCCTCCGAGAGGAGGCGAACCCGGGCTTCCGGCAGCCCCCGCCGCGCACTCCCGGTCTGCGCACCCGCCCGGCCCCACACGCCCGCCGGGGGCTGCTTCATCCCACCCCCGGCTCCGCTCCCCCAGCTCCCCGCTCCCCCTCAAAGTCCTGCCCACTCCGGCCCTCACACTCCGCCCCTCCCCGCTACCCGGCAGAACTCGGAGAAGCAGGGCGATGGCGTCACCACGAGTACATACTCTAGCAGAGCCGAGAGCGAGGAATCCTCCGACCCGACATGTGCGCACGCGCACACTCCCTCCCAGAAGCCCCGCCCCCGCACTTCCTGCCCCCTGCTCTGGCCTGGGCGCCTTTTTGCTCCGCCCACACCGGGCAGTGGATACGCTCGCCCAGAGCCGTTCTCTACGTGGGTCCTGGGCCTTGGCGCGCGCGGTAGCGCCCTGGCGCCCCCGTGCGGCCGGAGGAGGGCCATGGCCCTGGGCTGACTCGCCTGGGAACAACTCTACCTAGTCATGGTCTTGGTATTTGGCTTAGTTGAATTGGATCCTTGGAAGAATGAGTGAGGGAAGGGTGCGCCCGCTGTAAAGTCTAAGGCAGTACTGGCCGAAAGGACTCGAGGTCTTGGCTCTGAGGCTGCGCTGAAGGAAGTAGTCTTAGGAATATGGGTAGGTTCTACTTTCACCTGACTCCTGGCATGACTATGTTGAGAGGAAATGTGACCTGAAGTGGCTGGAAGTTACCTGAAAATAACCGGCTACGAAACAGTGTGCATAGTATACTTCCCTCGTTCCAGCAAAAAGGAGTATTTTTTGAGCATCAGCAGCTACATTCTTGGTGCCAACAATACAGCAATGGACAAGGCAAAGACTTGACTTTCATGGACTTTGTCTCAAAAGTAAGTAAGCAAGATATCCCATAGTGATGAGTAGTATGTCCCATAATGGTTTATTATATTTATACTCTCTGCACAACAAGAAATATCTCAAAGGACGTGAATGCAATGAATAATTTTAGGTATTTCTCTTACAATTTTTAAAATCTTGCTTATGTGTGTTTTATAACTTGCCTTTGACTTTTAAGAGGATATACTGGCAGACTCCCTGACCAACAGACTTCTTAAAAGTAGCAGGTCCCTCAGTTTTCTTAGGGTTGTTTTCCCAACCTCTAGTGTGCGTGTGTCTTACCAAGGTTTCCAACGTGTTAGCCACTGCAGGCTCGCCCTGTCTGGTTAACAGGATGTCATTGGAGTAGTAGGTGGGTGTGATGTCACATGGTCTAGGTGCTTTTGGACTGCATAATGCCAGCACAATGGCCATGACTGGGACTACTATTTAGTTAAGTCTGTAGTAATCTTCCATCACTCTCACAGATCCACCTCATTTCTGAAGGGGTCATACTGACGAGTTAATTGGAGAAATAACAGGGATGGCCACCTCTGTACTTCTTAAGTCTTTAATGATGGCCTTCATCTCCACCATGATGCACCCTCATCGGCTCAAATGACATCTTAGCTTTGGCTATTATTTGATTGGCCTGGGGAGAGGAGCAGCTTCAGAGACTTCCACTTAGCCTTCTCCATCACAACTCAAGACCAAGGACCTAATATGGAGATTGATCCAGATGCCAAACATAAACTCCCACTTACTCACTCAAGGACTGGGGAAACATCCACTGGATGTGTCCATGGAGCCGTGGGCCCACTGTAAGCTTGAGGTTATCCAGGACACTGCTTACTACCTGACCTCTACCAGTCCTCATACTTACAGAGGGAGACTATTTTGGGTAACAAGACCCTTTCAGACTCTGCGAACTATCTGGATATTCCTCTTTTTTTAACATATGGTCAGCCAAGAAGATGGCCATGTGCCTAAGGCCAAAAGATGGTCATTACAGTAAGCACCTGTTGTAATGTTGGAAGGTTCTTCTCTAGAGACCCTGCAGCCTCTTCAGTGAGTGAGTTCTATGGTCTGAGAATGAAGATTGTCTTAGGTCTGAGAACCCAGTGTGGAGCCTAACGTTTTATTATTGATTGACTTCCTGCTCTTCCATTCTTGCCTTCTTCTGCATGTGACTATTAAGCAGCACCCTTGTTGGCTGCCCATCTATTTTCCTCTAGAGACACGATGTGCAATTAAATGTCTCCACAACTCGTTGTGAATCAAATTTCCTTGAGTGCTCCTCTGTCCCTACATCTGTTAGCACTACAAGCCTGTCTAGCGGTTAAAGCTACCACCTGGCTTCTATTACTTTGGGATCCCCAAGAATAATATGAAGCCCAGCCTTCTAATCATCTCTCTTACCATCATCCACAGCCTACAGAGGACAGCCCCTCTGAACTTTGTGGTGATGCTGGTACAACTCCCACCTGTGTATTCCCATCACTTCTGTATTTGGTGTTGTCCCTTGGGCTTTCAGTAGAATATAACCCTCTGGCGGGTCTTCTGGCCCCAAATAATTAATTCATGTTGGCAAGCCCCCTTCTACCAGCTCCTTCTTTCCTTTCCCTAAGTTTCTTCCAGGGCAGTTCAACCATTACCACTTCACTGTGCATGGGGTGTGCATGGGCTGTGGCTTTTTCCTGGCTTCTGAGAGTCACCTAGCTGTGAATTTATCCCATCTCCTAGGATCGTGTCAAGGTCCCACCTCCCAAGAAAGTTTCCCCAAATTAATGAATTTTTATTTAGCCAGGCTTATATTCCAGCCCAGCTTGATCAAACACCCTTAGGTCCTGCCAACTGTTCTTGCAGCTCCTTTATTTTGCAAATCTCTTTCCTCCCTTGACTGGTGCAATACTTTTCCATACTTTGTCCTGGAAGATAACCATAAAGAGATGGGGACAGCTCCTACAAGGAGCACCTGTTGCCTTGTGGTAGAGTCCCTACGAGATCCAAGATCTGCTGTTAAGCATTTAAATCTCTCCAGGGTCAGGCAGCAATTGGAGGTCTACCTGCTTATCCCAGTCAGCATTACTCTTGGGATGCTGGAGTTGGGCAGTAGCCAGGGGCCCATGACTCTGGTCTGCTCCTAGTACCAGCCCAGCCTTCCCCCAGTGCCACTGCTGCTCTCAAAGCTCCAGCTCCTGAATTAGGAGGTGATTGTCAGTTTGTCTTCCCAGGCCACTGGCAGCACCACCAGGGTTGCTCCTAACACTGACATAGCTCCAGCAACTCTGGTCCTTCCATCAAGAGATGGCTGAGGGACTGTGAGACAGGGATCTAAACAACCCCAATGGGCCTCAGAGCACTCCAGGTCCTCACCACTAGGCCATTGTCTATTGCAAAAAGGTTTAGAGAGATTACACTTTGGTGTCCAACTGGAACTACAAAGTCAAAATAGCCTACAAAACTGACACCCAAAGATACATCTTCAAGAAAAATCCACCCATTAAGAGTGACAGAAACTGATCCACCAGATGCACAAATATTAGCATAGAGACAAAAGAAGTGTGCAAAAGCAAGGCAACACTGTGCCCCAAGAGGTAAAGCAATAGTTCTTTAGTATCAGACTCCTAAGAAAGGGAGGTCGACAAAATGTCTGATAAAAAATATAAAAGAATGATTCTAAGTTTACTCAAAGAAATAAAAGAATAATGATAGTTAAATGAGATTAGCAATCAATGAATGATATGAATGAGAAATTCAACAAAGATTGAGATCTTGAAAAAGAACCAAACAGAACACAGAAACAAAGAACTCAATAAGTCAAACATAAAATACATATTAAAGCTTCAATAACGGAGTAGATCAAACAGAAGAAAGAATATCTGAACTTGAAGACAGGTCTTGAAATACTTCAATCAGGGGTAGGCAATGTGGCACAGCAGGTTAAGCCACCTCTTGGGACATCCATATCCCATATTGAAGTGCCTAAATTGGAGTTCTTCCTCCACTTCCAATCTGGCTTCCTGATAATACAGTTAGGAAGCAGCAGATGATGATGGCCCAAGTACTTAGGTTTCTGACATTCATGTGGGAGATCCCAGACAGAATTCTAGGCTCCCACCGTCAGCTTGGACCAGTCCAGGCCCTTGCAGCCATTTGGTGAGTGAATCAGTGGATGGAAGATTGATCTCTTTCGGTTTTCCCTCTCTCTGTCACTCTTTCAAATAAATGAAAAAAAAATCTTTAAAAAAAAGCTATTTCAGAGTCTATTTTCATATTTATTTATTTATTTGTTTGTTTGTTTTTGACAGGCAGAGTTAGGCAGTGAGAGAGAGACAGAGAGAAAGGTTTTCCTTCCGTTGGTTCACCCCTCAATGGCCGCTACGGCCGGCGCTGCACTGATCCGAAGCCAGGAGCCAGGTGCTTCCTCCTGGTCTCCCATGTGGGTGCAGGGCCCAAGCACTTGGGCCATCCTCCACTGCCTTCCTGGGCCACAGCAGAGAGCTAGACTGGAAGAGGAACAACCGGGACAGAACTGGCACTCCAACTAGGACTAGAACCCAGGGTGCTGGCGCCGCAGCCAGAGGATTAGCCTAGTGAGCCACGGCGCCAGCCCCAGAGTCTATTTTCAGAGAACTCAATTCAAGACAACTTAATAGAAAGCCATTTTGGAGGCCAGCATTGTGGTGTAACTGGTAGAGCCACCACCTGCAGTGCCAGCATCTCATATGGGCACCGGTTCCTGTCGTGTCTACTCCACTTCTGAGCCAGCTACCTGTTAGTTATCTGGGAAAAGCAGTGGAAGATGGCCCAAGTTCTTGGGCCTCTGCCACCCACGTGGGAGACCCAGATGAAGCTCCTGGTTTCTGGCTTTCACCTTTCTTCACGCTGGCCATCACAGCTACTTGGAGAGGGAAACAGCAGGTGGAATATCTATCTTTCCCTCTCACTGTAACTGACTTTCAATTAAATAAATATTTAATTTTTTAAAAGATTTATTTATTTACTTGAAAGACAGAGTTATATAGAGAGGGGTGGGGAGAGACAGAAGATCTTCTATCTGCTGATTCACTCCCCAAATGGTTACAGCGGCCAAAGTTGGGCCGATCTGAAGCCAGAAACCAGGAGCTTCTGGGTCTCCCACATGGGTGCAGAGACCCAAATACTTGAGCCATCTTTTACTGCTTTCCCAGGCACATTAGCAGAGAGCTGGATCTTAAGATGAGTAGCCAGAGCCGGGGCCACAGGTGGTGGTTTTACCTGCCACACCACAGAACTGGCCCCTAAATAAAAAAAAAAAAAAAAAAATCTTTAAAAAGGAAGGGAGGGAGGAAGGAAGGAAGGAAGAGAGGAAGGGAGGGAAGGATGTAGGGAGGGAGGGAGACAGGCCTTTGATACAGACTGTCATTCATACTTCCTACAGAAAATGCTAGAAGCAGAAC